TTCACTGTTCTTCATATTCAATTCCAAATGGAGACCATCAGTTCACAGAAAATCTTTTTTTTTTGTTGCTAAAACTCTTTTTTTTTAATCGGATCAAAATGGGAGTAAGGCACAAGGTCCGGGGTGGCAATGGGCGTATTGTGTTCAAATTTCATGGTTTTCGGACAATCGGTGCCGGTGTCGTGGCGATATTCCACTTTTTTCGCACTTACTGAAAATGTAAATGGCAGAAAAAGCCAAACGACCTGAACTGTATGAAGAACAAACGACCTGAACGAATGCAGGTATCGCCTTGAATTTCTCAGGGCACCTAGGTACCAGCGTGTAAAGTTCCTCGCCGGATTTTGGTAGTCATCGTACCTTTGGTTCGAGCGTGGCGCATGCGCGAAGTCAAAAGAAATTACGGTCGATTTTGGGTATATTTCGGAGTGGTTTGGTATGTGACGGTGGATCGGGGACCCTGATTGATCTATTATAATAAGCGTTGAAGAATGAGCAAATTTTCGCTACCGGGGTTGATTTGCTCTGCCGATTGCCTTCAAATTTGCACGGGATGTACATTGGGATTCAAGCTATCACATATTAAAAATAAAAGAGTCTGGAATTCCGAGAACGTTGAAAATAAATTCGAAACCCACCCCACCCCCACCGATCAAAGTTTTTTTGCTTAAAAAATTGCCGTATTTTATCGAATTTTTATTGTTTTTGATATCTGAACATTTTCTCCTTTTAATATGTGATAAATATTATCGCGGCGCAGCCAACCGCTAGAAATTCCAGAGATTTGAACCACCGGAAGGATGTCTCAGCAGTCAAAAAAGGTCAAAATAGGCGATTTCGGTTTCTAGTGTCGATACATCGTTGCGGTCATTTTAAAAAATTGTCTTTTAAGGATAATGTGTATAGTACTAATTCAAAATTAATTAAAACCAATATTAAATTCCGAAAATCGTTTTTTTGCTAAAACTCTTTTTTTTAATGGGATCAAAATGGGAGTAAAGCACAGAGTCCGGGGTGGTAATGGGCGTATTGTGTCCAAATTTCATGGTTTTCGGACAATCGGTGCCGGTTTCGCAACGAAAATCCACCCTTTTCCCCTTATAGAAGCCGTAAATTGACTTAGAAAAAAAAAACGACCTGGAGCCGTGCCAAGAACAAACGACTTGAACAAATGCAGGTATCACCTTGAAGTTTTCAGGGTACCTAGGTACCAGCATGAAAAGTTCCTCGCCGGAATTTGGTACTCATGGTACCTTTGGTTCCAGCGTAGCGCATGCGCGAAGTCAAAACGGAAAACATCAGAGGGGAAATTTGAATTTTTGAAATATTCAAATACCAAACATTCGACCATGAGCCAGGCTATCCTGAAATGCATTAATTTCGGTAATAGGAGACAGATTCTCTAGGTCACGACCAATTGTGTGGGTTTTCAAGCCCATTAATGTGGATTTTTCACTATTTTTCATTTTCAATTCAAAATGGCGTCCATCATTTGGCAAAAATCAAAATTCTACTGTCTACATTTTATGGGGTTTCCTTCAAGGATTTGGAAAATATAATTCCCTTGTTTGTAAGTAAAATATCAAAAAAGCCTTAGCGATATTTCACATTTGAAGATGGTGGCACTTCCGGTTTGGGCTACAAACTCCATTTTTTGTGTACGAATCAGTAATTACTTGTCTAGTATCGAAAAAAAAAATTATGTCATTCTGACCTATATTTCGATAAAAATGACAATGTGCTACGCTAACAAATAATGAAATATGATAGTATCAGTAAATATAAAAAAACAAAGTAGTCGCGAACAGTTGTTTGATCCTAGACTCTGTCTGTAATTAATAGTAAACTTTTACATGATAGTGACGTCAAATCTTTAACGTGCACGAAACCAGAAAATTGGCGATATTTAATTTTTGAACCAGTTACATATTTCAGGAGCTAACATGAACGCGATTTCGAAGTCCCGCATACACATTGGTGTGACTGTAAAAGATCCCTTGGCATTTGGAATTGTATATAAGAGTAGGCTAGCGCCGCTGTACGTTCGAAACTTTCCTCATGGTCCATTTCCATTTAGCGTAGATCAACTTTATTTTTCGATTCCCTTCTATCGTAATGCGCATGCAAAGAACATGTCAGTATCTGAGTTATGCAAATGTGTCTTTTTATTTGGGGTAGTGGGGGGGAGTGTGTGTTTGTTTAGGGGGTGAGAGGTGGGGATAGTCTTTTGTCATGCATCTGGCGATCGTGTGACGCCTTGGCACGGTGAAAGCCTTCAGTCTTGCAAGCAAGTCTAGTTAGGCTTTCAGACTTTCGTCTGAAAGCCTATTGAGATTACTAAAATTATTACTATTAGGCTTTCAGACTTTTGTCTGAAAGCCTATTGTGATTACTAAAATTATTTTAAGGCTTTCAGACTTTGTCTGAAAGACCCATGATTTTTACTGAAATTATTATTATTAGGCTTAGAATTATTATTATTTATTAGGCTTTCAGACTTTTGTCTGAAAGCCTATTGTGATTACTAAAATTATTATTATTAAGCTTTCATATTTCATATGAAAGCTTATTGTTTTTGTTAAGATTATTATTATTATTTTTTTTTTGTGTACTTTCTGCAAATCGGATTTCTCAGAATCTAACCATAGGATCTTTCTGAAACTTTGACCTACCCCCCCAAAATTGGGAGGCAGTTTTTGCTTAAATAGATTTTCAAAACGTTTTACGAATCCGAAATCACCGAATTTTACGAACGCAGAAATTGACCTTTTTTATTATATCACCGTTAAACCCTAAGGACGGTTGAGTTCGAATTTCGTGAAAATCGGCCCAAAATTGACAGACAAAATGGCCGCCCTTCGTTCTCAAATAGCGTAAAAAATATAGTATATCAAGGCTGTGGACCCAATAGAGGTCACAATTTTTATCCGATTTTGTTGAAACTTAAAATGTAAGTTTATAACCTAAAGATCTCGGTTCCTTTCGATATTTGCGCATATCGGACCGTAACTTTCTGAATTATGGCCCCTGATTGTACGAAAAATCAGGTTTTTGGTTTGTGGACCCTAAAGAGGTCATAATTATTATCCGATTTAAAAAAAACGTATTATATCACCGTTACACCCTAAGGATGACTGAGTTCGAATTTCGTGAAAATCGGCCCAAAATTGACAGACAAAATGGCTGCCGTTCGTTCTCAAATAGCGTAAAAATATGGTATATCAAGGTTGTAGACCCTATAGAGGTCACAATTTTTATCCGATTTTGTTGAAACTTGAAATGTAAGTTTATAACCCAAAGATCTCAGTTCCTTTCGATATTCGCGCATATCGGACTGTAACTTCCTGAATTATGGCCCCTGATTGTACGCAAAAACGTGTTTTTTGGCTTGTGGACCCTATAGAGGTCATAATTTTTATTCGATTTAAAAAATCGTATTATTATATCACCGTTACACCCTAAGGACGGCTGAGTTCGAATTCCGTGAAATTCAGCCCAAAACTGACAGACAAAATGGCCGCCCTTCGTTCTCAAATAGCGTAAAAAATATAGTATATCAAGGTTGTGGACCCAATAGAGGTCACAATATTTATCCGATTTTGTTGAAACTTGAAATGTAAGTTTATAACCTAAAGATCTTGGTTCCTTTCGATATTTGCACATATCGGACCGTAACTTTCTGAATTATGGCCCCTGATTGTACGAAAAATCGCGTTTTTAGTTTGTGGACCCAAAAGAGATCATAATTTTTATCCGATTTAAAAAAAACGTATTATATCACCGTTACACCCTAAGAATGACTGAGTTCGAATTTCGTGAAAATCCGCCCAAAATTGACAGACAAAATGGCTGCCGTTCGTTCTCAAATAGCGTAAAAATATGGTATATCGGGGTTGTGGACCCTATAGAGGTCACAATTTTTATCCGATTTTGTTGAAACTTGAAATGTAAGTTTATAACACAAAGATCTCAGTACCTTTCGATATTTGTGCATATCGAATTGTAATTTCCTGAATTATGGCCCTTGATTGTAGAAAAAATCACTTTCTTGTTAGCTTGTTCTCTATCCATCTCTCGAAAATGTGGGCGTATCCTGCCTGGCAGCTGCTGGTTTTTGTGCACACGGGCCGATATTTTTTGCGTATAGGAGCATTGTGTGAAACAATAGTTCATAGTATTGCATAATATTATACATACAAAACCACCTAGTAATAAAATATTTGGGAAAAAAAAGTGATGCGTTTTCCATGGCGCTCAGTATATATGTGATATGGTTTTTCATGTGCATCTCGTGCAATTTTTTTTTGTGCACACGGGCCGATATTTTTTGCGTTTGGGAGCATTGTGTGAAACAATAGTTCATAGTATTGCATAATATTATACATACAAAACCACCTAGTAATAAAATATTTGGGAAAAAAAAGTGATGCGTTTTCCATGGCGCTCAGTATATATGTGATATGGTTTTTCATGTGCATCTCGTGCAATTTTTTTTTGTGCACACGGGCCGATATTTTTTGCGTTTGGGAGCATTGTGTGAAACAATAGTTCATAGTATTGCATAATATTATACACACAAAACCACCTAGTAATAAAATATTTGGGAAAAAAAAGTGATGCGTTTTCCATGGCGCTCAGCATATGTTTTATAATTTTTTTGGAGGGGGTCGAATTCCCACTATTGGTCCAGTTGACATGGAATAACCCTAATATCGGTGTTTTTGAAACTATCAGAATGCATTGATCCCTCTTTTAATACTAAATGCACAAACAAAATCATACAGTTTCATAACACCTTAGTTTAAAAGAACTTTCGGCCTGAAGCCAATGAAATGTTGAGTTTGTGCACGACACCAATGCGATAGTTATATACCAACCAACCATTACCTGGAGTATTTAACGATAACGCTACTATAGGTGTCCTATATATATTTTGATTCATATTTAGATTACTTTTCAAAATAACCTTATTTTCAAGCCATGTACTTTCTATTTTTCAGAATTGTTAATATGTTAAAAAATTTCGCCCACCTTCAACAACGGTTACCTAAGATACCCAACATCAATGTTAATTTAAGAAAACCAGTTAAATTGACAGTAATTAGTGTCACTCTTGGGTTAGCTCTAATTGGTTTCTTGTCTGCTTATTTTCGACGAAGAAAGAATCAGAAAAAATTTCCAGAGAAAGTCAAGGCTCAACTAAAATTACAAGCGAAATACAATCTGCCAAAGACATTTTCTAATGGAGGTAACAACAGTTCTTAAGATTTATATTAGTATGGTCTTCATCTGACACTGGTAGAGCTGCAGTAAGATTCTAGCACAATGACCTGGAGGCCCCATGTTCGATGCAAACGTTGGTTAAGAAAAGGACATCAGGCTTTTCCAGAGTGGTTCACCCTTGTTGGTGGTGCAGGACGGAGTGCCTGGCAGGGAATAATATATTGTCGTTCGGATGGAACGAAAAACTGAGGTCCCGTGTACACATTGTCGTGCACGTAAAAAAAGCCTTTGACAGTTGGAATTTGAAATAAGAGTAGGCCATAGTGCCACTATCGGGCAAAATTTCTCTCACTGTATGGCGTTTGCTCGTCTTCATTAGCCCAGTCTGAGCAGAACAGTAGGTTGTTAAACCCCATTTCATTTCATTTTATCTGCCACTGACATGTCATAGAAATTTATATATGGCACATTGACAATCGGTGAATTGACATTCTGAAATTCATAAGGGAGTAAATAGACTGGACTTCAATAAATACACAGATTATTTTTACAGAAATTATATATAGACTATGTAGGATAAAAAAAAGGGACAGAATAAACAATACTATAGAGACAGTACATTTTTAGTTGCACAATCCTAGGCTGTAGAGAAGATAAGACAATGTCAGAAAAAAAAAACGGAAAATAATTATAACTAGACCTGCAAGCAGCACTGAACCGACTTTCAGGAATCAGACAGGAAGAGCGTCATACAATAGCCAATCCATCGAGCTACTAAACGATACTTTAGCTGTTTTGATTCAGTGACATCTGACGGAGAAATCGCGATTTTCGCAAGAGTACATATTTTTTACTGGGGTTTTTCTCGACTACTTCCGGTTTACAGATCATTGCCGGGATAGATTTAACAAATGGTATGAGAACCAAAAGTTCTTGTGTGAGACTGTGAGAGGATATCTGACAATTCATAAAAAGAATTGACTGCCACTAGATAAGAGAACACGAAAGAAAAACAGAAAGTATGTGCATTACCATGTTTTTATAAGGTATAGAATGAATATAAACAAGGGAATGTACGAAGAAGCCTATTTAATTTCAATAGCTTCGTTAATTTCTTCTGGAGTTATGGCCCTTGTTTCACTTTGTTGCACCTTGTGAACGCTCTAACGACAAAAGTTATCAACCGATCTGTATGAAATTTATATGCATCATTTAAATTAGTAAAACAAAGAAGTTTATTGAATTTCAGCAATTTCCATTAATTACATCTAGAGTTATGGCCCTTGTTTCACTTTGTTGAATTTTGTGAACGCTCTAATGACAAAAGTTATCAACCGATCTGCATCATTTAAATTAGTGAAATGAAGAAGCCTATTGAATTTCAGAAATTTCCGTTAATTTCTTCTGGAGTTATGGCCCTTATTTCACTTTGTTGCACCTCTATCCATCTCTTGCAGAATGTGGGCGTATCCTGCCTGGCAGCCGCTGGTTTTTACTTTTTAAGGTTTTTTTTTCGAAATATCGAATATTTTTTCGAATACTTCCGGTTTTTGGATCATTGTTGGGATAATTTTAACAAGTTGTTTGGATACTTAACTTTCTGTACCAGAAATTTCAGAAACATCCATTAAGCTGTTTTCAAAAAAAAAGAAAAATAGAAAAGAAGAGCATTTTCAGTAATATAACGATTTTCCAACTTTTTTTTAAAGATTGAGACCACTTATATTATTTCAACGCTTTTATTTTTAGATTCACACCCTAGACCATCGATAGGACTCTGAGTAAAAATAATTTAAGAAAAATCGTAGGTGTCGTTTTCGAGAAAATGGTGTCTCAAAAGGCTCCAAAATGAAAAATAATAGATTTTTCGGCGTACCATAATTTATTTCCTAAGCACCGAAGTCGTATCATTTAGATGTCATATGATAGTCCATTAATGGGGCTATCAAACGACACTTTAGTTCTTTTGGTCCGCTAATATCTGACGGAGAAATCAGGTTTTTTGCAAAAGCGCCAATTTTTTGTATACTTCCGGTATGGAGGTCATTGTCAAAGTAGTTTTAGTAACCGATTTGGGCAACTGAAGGGTCGCAGGTCTCTATAATAATATATTACATTATCTGATCAGATGAAATCACCATGACGAATCATAAATGCAAAAATGTAAAAATATCGAAAATTAAATTTCAATAACTCAATACATATTATACATAATTAGAATCGTCATTAGATCAGCTATCTTAATATATAAACCTTTTTTGAAAATCTGTAAAAAAGAAAAAAAAAAAAATAGAGCATTTTCCAAAATTTAACGATTTTTTGACTTTTTTTCGATTTTTAATGAATTATTTCTCCTATTCCAGTTATTTCAAAGTCCAAAAACGCTCCAAATCAGAAAATACTTGATTTTCAGCTTGCCATATTTTGCTGCCTGGTCATAGTATCCGTATGAATTGGGTATCATGCGATAGTTCAATCCTTGGTACCTTAATTTTTTTAATCGGACGGCGAAATCGTGTTTTTACCCAAAACATCCAGTTTTTGCATTTTTTTCAAAATATCATACAATATCCTTGTTGGGATAGTTTTAAGAGCTGCTCTGAGAGTATGACGTCATGATCAAGAAGATTCAGAAACATCGAATAAGGCTTTCAAACAAAAATATGAGGATAGCAAAATTTTATTTATTTATTGATTTATTAATATATTTAGAGCCCACTCCATACATTATCTCAGTAGGCTTTACAATTTATACATATAACACAGAACACAATAAAAATAAAAATATCATAATATACATAATAAGAATACGTGATATGTGATAAAGATACAATCATTAATTTAAAGGTAGTATTGCCTAAAAAGAAACGTTTTGAGAGCGGCCTTAAATTGACTGTAAATATCGTTTGCCCTAAGATCTCGAGGGAGAACATTCCACAGTTCGGGCCCACAGACTGTCAGTGAGCGCTTTGCATATGCGGTAAAATGGCGTGCCTCTCTCGTGGAGGGTGGTTCGAGTCGGATCTCATCCGAACTACGAGTGACTCTTCCGGATCTCTGAACGGACACCAGCTCACTGAGGTAACGCGGCGCCGTACGAAGGTGAATACTTCTGAAAATAATACACAGAATTTTGAAGCGAATTCTGCTCTCGACCGGAAGCCAATGGAACCCACGTAGCACGGGCATAATAGAATCACGCGATCGATGCGACATCCTGACAACCAGCCGAGCAGCAGAATTCTGGATTAGCTGTAATTTCTGAATTTGATACGAAGGCAGGCCGAAAAGTAAACTGTTGCAGTAATCCAATCTGGATGTAACAAAACCATGAACTAATTTTTCCGTACTTCTTTGCTCCAAGAGATTCCTCAATTTTCCTATACGCCAGAGAGAGTACAACGCAGCACGACATACGGCGACAACATGCTCGCTCAGAGAGCCGGAAGAGTCAAATATTACGCCCAGATTCCGGGCCGAATGGGACGGGGGAACTGTGACGTCACTAATCCGCACAGCAGCCTCCGGGGCCCGATCCAGGGCCCGATCACTGACCCTCTTGTTTTTAGACGAAAACCAGAGAACCTCGGTTTTCCCATCATTAAGAGCAAGCATGTTTGCCTGCATCCAGTGGCAGATCTCGGTCACGCAGGCCTCTATGGAGGCAACAACAGAATAGTCAGTGCGGTTCCTGCAAGTCATGTAGATCTGGGAATCGTCAGCGAAAATGACGCAGTTTAATCCATGCTGGGAAATAATATTTTCTAATGGTGACATGTAAAGTGAAAATAACACAGGCCCAAGAACAGAACCTTGAGGAACACCGTATTCAAGTGTATGTGGCTCCTTCGACACCAAAGACCCGATCGTGACAACTTGTGTTCGTCCACGAAGGAAGGACCCAAGCCAATCGTGGGCAAAGTCACTGATACCAAACCTCGTGCGAAGGCGCTGCATGAGTATGTCATGGTCAATGGTGTCGAAAGCAGCCGAAAGATCTAGCATAACTAAAATGACATCTCTCTGTCCGTCTAGAGAGAGCATAACATCGTTATGCACTCTAAGGAGCGCAGTCTCAGTGCTATGCCCCTCCCGATAGGCAGATTGAAATTTACCTTAAAGGGAATTGTCTACCAAGTAGGCATTCAACTGAACAAAGGCACATTTTTCTAAAAACTTGTCAATAAAACTGCAATTGGACACTGGTCTGTAGTTCTTGAACTCATTTCTATCAAGACCTGACTTCTTTATCAGAGGGCGCCCTTGCAAGACCGGGGGAAAACTCCCGTGGCAAAAGAGCCATTGACAATATTGGTCAGCACTGGAGAAAGATTCGAAAAATAAAGGGCAATAACTCTGAATGAAACTTATAGGGCTGGAATCGGATGGACTTCAGGTTTCCAAAAATGTAGGTCAAATTTGAAAATTTAAGAAAATAACAAAAATTGTCTCATAAACAACATATTTTCATTTTTCGAACGCTAGAAGTCAACGACAAAGTTTCGAAATTTCCGAAAATGTAATTTGTATGAAAATAGGTACAGAATTGACAAAGCAATAACTCCGAATGAAACTTATAGGGCTGGAATCGGATGGACTTAAGGTTTCCAAAAATGTAGGTCAAATTTGAAAATTTAAAAAAATAACAAAAATTGTCTCATAAACAACATATTTTCATTTTTTGAACACTAGAAGTCAATGACTTGACAAAGCTAAGGTCGTTTTTTAACTTTTTGGCACAGCACCAAATTCGGCCACTTCCGGTCTGCGCAGAAGTTTAAAAAAAATATTCATCAAGTACCCACCACATGGTTTCCCGATAGAAAATTAGGTTCCAGATCGGTATCTATTACATTCACTGAGATAAAAAATAATAATAACTAGACCTGCAAGCAGCACTGAACCGAATTTCAGGAATCAGAAAGGAAGTTTGTCATACAATAGCCCATTCATTGAGCTACCAAACGATACTTTAGATGTTTTGATGCGGTCACACCCGACGGTGTAATCACGATTTTTGCAAGA